AAACTAATAATCACACAGATTATTAATTATGACTGGCCTACCAAGGACAATTCATTTGAGATCTGAGGCTGGGCAGGAATTAGCCACATGAAATCAAAGAGCATCATAGGGCTTCCCTGGTGGCGCAGTGGTTGAGAGTCCGCCTGCCGATGCAAGAGATACGGGTTTGTGCCCCGGCCCGGGAAGATCCCACATGCCGCGGAGCGGCTGGGCCCGTGAGCCATGGCTGCTGAGCCTGCGCGTCCGGAACCTGTGCTCCGCAACGGGAGAGGCCACAACAGTGAGAGACCCGCGTACCGCAAAGAAAAAAAAAAAACAAAGAGCATCATAAACAGAGGAAGAGCATCTGAGAAGTCCTGGAAAAAGGATGGTGCTTGGGGCTTTGAAAAAGTGGTAAAAGCAGATGGGCTCTGTGGCAGGAACAGGAAGACAGGGGTGGGGAAAGAGGCAGGTGGGATGGGCGAGGCTCACTTCCTGCAGGTTTTGGTGGCCTTGCTAAGGACTGGGGACTTAATCTGAGAGCAGTGGAAAGCATCTGAAGGGCTGAAGCACTGCCCCATGGGGCCAAGTGAAGATCGTGGTGGCTAGGAGTTGATGGCAATGGAGACAAACAGGCAAGGACAGATTTGGCCAATATTCGGAAGGTAGAGGCAGCAGGATTTAGAAGTGGCTGGATTTAGAGGTGAGTTTTCTTGCATGTTTTCTGCGGGAGCAGTTGGGCAGACGATGATGTTGTTGATGGAAACAGGACAACAACGGGCGGCAAGTCTGGAGGGTAAGAGGATGAGCTCAGTTTCGCCGATGTTGAGTTTGAGGTGTCTGGGAAGGAGCCACGTGAAGCCAATGAGCAGACAGTCGGAAACACGGGTTTGAAGGTCAACAGAGAAGCCTGGATTGGATTTACGTAGCTATATAGGTGGTCAGCTCATACACAGTGCTGGGGGTGGATTAGATCACTTAGGGAGATAGTGTAAAATGAGGATAGGGTTAGGATTGATGGGTCTTGGGTAGTTTAAGGTGGGGTAGAAGAAGAGTTACTATAGGAGGTTAAAAAAAGAGTGGTCAGAGAAGTTGGGGGGGGCGGGGTGGGGGACTTGGAGTGTGTGCTATCTGGAAAGCCGAGAGAGGAGATTGGTTCAAGGAGGAGTGGTCAGTTGTGTTGGAGTTGCTGAAAGGTGGACTAAAAAGAGGGGTTTACAGCAGTTTGCTTTAGCAACACAGAGGCCGCTGGTGAGATTAGCAAGAGCATTTTCCACCAGGTAGTAGAGGCAGAAAGAAGCCTGACTGAAATGGGTTGAAAAGTGAAAAGGAAGTAGAAAAATGGAGACAGCAAATATGGTCCACCTTTTAGAATAGTTGCTCGTCAGATGGGGCACTAGCTGGAGGGGGATTTGGAGTTGTAGGAGGGTTTTAAATTTGATTTTGTTTCTTTGAAGAAGGGAGTGATATTGATGAGAAGAAAACAGTAGAGCAGAAGAGAAAGTAGAAGAGAATGGCATAATCATGCATCTCTCTGGTCTTTGTCCTGGGTTCCTGGCACAGAACTTGGTATTTTCCAAGCTATCAGAGTGTCTTTGTTATTCAGCCCCTAGGAACACATCTGAGTTTATGCAAACAAGGTGGATCAGGATGGGTGCTGGTCACCAGAAGACCAACCGACTGATTAGAGGGTTGAGGCTTTGGGCCAGCCTGACATCGGCAGAGTAGAGAACGGGGGCTAGAAATTGAGTTCAGTCACGTGGTCAATGATTTGATCAATCATGTCGATGAAGTGAAATCCCAATAAAAAATCTGGACAGTGGTGCTTTCCTGGTGGTGAATACATCCATGTGCTGGAAGGGTGATGCACCCTGATTCCAGAGGACACAGCTCTTCATCTGGGACCCTCCTAGACCTCACCTTATTCATCTTTCGTTTGGCTGGTCCTGATGTGTATCCTTTACTTACTTTTTTAATTTTTAAAAATGTTTCTTTCTTTCTTTATTGTTTGGTTGCGTTGGGTCTTCATTGCTGCGTGTGGTCTAGCTGCAGTGAGCGGGGGCTACTCTTCATTGTGGTGCACGGGCTTCTCATTGCGGTGGCTTCTCTTGTTGTGGAGCATGGGCTTCTAGGTGAGCGGGTTTCAGTAATTGCAGTAGGCGGGCTCAGTAGTTGTGGCACACGGCCTTAGCTGCTCCACGGCATGTGGGATCCTCCCGTACCAGAGGTTCCCCACCGAACTCGTGTGCCCTGCATTGGCAGGCGGATTCTTAACCACTGCGCCACCAGGGAAGTCCCAGTGTATACTTTATAATAACATTGTAACAATAAGGATAGCACTCTCCCAAGTTTTGTGAGTTGAACTGTTGAACCTAAGGGGGTTCTGGGAAACCTCCAGATTTGTGGCCGGTAGGTCAAAAGTTTGGGTGGCCTGGGGACCCCTGAAGTGTGGCTGGCATCTGAAGGAAGGGCAGCCTTATTAGGACTGTGCCCTTTTGGGGTCTGAGCTAACTCCAGGGGCAGCATCAGAGTTGCGCTGCAGGACTCCAGTTGGGGCAAGAATAGGGGATGAGAGCATGCATGGAAGAATCGGCCCTTGTTAGGAGGTAACACAATAGACGTGGGCTAGGATGGGTGTAGATGCAGGTAAGTCACTGGGTCAGGTGGTGGAAAGTTGATGGTTCCTTTTTTTTTTGCTGAGAGTAAAGGGGCTGGAGATTGGAAATCTGAGGAGAGTGAAGAATGTCTGAAACAATTAGAGAAGCTAGGAGATTACACTGACTGGGATAGGTCTTCTCAACATTACTGACATCTGGGACTGGCAAATTCTTTGTTGTTCAGGGCTGTCCTGTGCATTGCAGGACAGGCAGCATCCCTAGCCTCTACCCATTAGATGACATAAGCACCCCCCAAAGCATGACAACCAAACATGTTTTCAGACATTGCCAAGTCTTCCCTGGGGGTCCAAATCTCCCTCGGTCGAGAACCATTGGTCTAGAGAAACACAGTAAGAGCCACAGGCGGTATTAAGGGCCCGGTTGTGGTTGATGTCGACAGATCTGTGATGGACTCAGTGTCTACCGTATGCCGAGCCCTCTAGGAGGAAAGGATGTCCCAATCCCTCTCCCCACGCTGGAGAAGCCTCACTCCCCCTACGCTCTCCTTTTCTCAACCTCCAGATTTCCTATATACTAGGTTAACGGTGGGCAGAGTCCTGTGGGTTGAGAGCCAGCCCAGTCATTCTGCTTCCTTCCTTCCTTCCTTTTCCCCTCCCTCCTCTCTTGCTCCCTTCTTTTCTTCCTCTTTTTCTTTAAATCCCTGGTGTTATAGTCGCCTCTGGCTAGGGCTGAAACTTAGGCGAGAGAGATGCCCATTTCAAGCTTTGAGTTTAAACCACATGCTCTAGCTTGTTCTAACAGGTAGCCTTGAATTGGGAGTTATGAACACTAGCCCAGCTGATCAAACATGGAATTCTAATTTGCCACGGTTCCTGTGTCTATATCTTTCTCTTGGGAACTTCATGGGAGGGATGCCTGTGTCTGGATGTGGGCTCAGTGGTGCCCTATCAAAATAGCATCTCACAGCACCCCCAAATCCCCAATGACCTCTGACACACACACATAACTGGTAGAGCTAAGGTCCTGGCAAGATGTGGGTTCTGTTTCCACCCAAGTGGGTGGACTGTAATTCAGTTGACACCTCCTGGAGTTGGCACCAGACTCTACAGGTGTAAGGTACAACCTTCACAAGACTGCCTCCACTTCAATGCCAGCCAACTGCCAGTTCTGACCAGCCCTTTATAAACTGAGAGGTTCCCACGACCCCTCAGGTTCAATAATTCAACACAATGACTTGTAGAACTCAGGAAAGCTCTATACTCACCCATTACAGTTTTATTACAACGGACGCCCACAGGGTGAGGTCTGGGTGGGTCCTGGACGTGGACCCCCTTCTCTGTGGAGTCAAGGCATGTAACCCACCTGGTTCCTTGAATGTTCACCAACCAGGAAGCTCCCCCAAGCCTTGGTGTCTAGAGTTTTTATTGGGGTTTCATTAAGAGGTACAATTGATGAAATCACTGGCCACAATGGTTCAAGTTCTTCCAACCATTATGTATCATAAAGACAATGTGTTTGAATCACAGCTCAACCACTGAGAAGTACTACATACCAACTTCTCCAAGCTTCAGTTCTCTCAACTGTAGAGTGAGGATAATAATGTATACCTTGCAGGGTGGTTGTAAGGACAAGAAATAATGTGTATATAAAGCAATGCATAGTACCCACTCCATCCCTCAATGTCTTGCCCTCCTTCTTAAAAATATAAACCAGTAGCTGTTATATTACCATTAAAATGTGATGTCCAGGGCTTCCCTGGTGGCGCAGTGGTTAAGAGTCCGCTTGCCAATGCAGGGGACACGGGTTCGTGCCCCGGTCCGGGAAGATCCCACATGCGGCGAAGCGGCTGTGACCGTGAGCCATGGCCGCTGAGCCTGCGCGTCCGGAGCCTGTTGCTCCGCAACGGGAGAGGCCACAACAGTGAGAGGCCCGCGTACCACACAAAAAAAACAGAAAAAACCAAAAAAAACAACAACAAAAATGTGATGTCCAGAATTGGGTATGGGGCTCTAGCCATGATGTTATTGAGGCAAAACACCAAGGAATGATCTCACTGTTGGTGCAAGCAGCCTGCTGGGCACTAATGGAGCCTCGGACAAACATCACATCTATACTGTGATGAGACACAGCTCCCTACAAGCTCACCCTAAGCTGGTGATCACCATCTTGTCCACAGGCATATCATGAAAAAAGGGTCAGAGCTTTGCTAAAGGTCACTTATAAAGAAATAGATACAAGTGTGTGTGTGGGGGGGGGGGGGGCGGGATCTTAAATTTGACCATCAGGAGGGAATGTATTCTGTACAGTGTCTACAAAGTTCTGTTTCTATGAAATACATTAGATAAGTTTGAACACGACCTCTGAGCTTTGAACAGGTGTCAGACTCTCCCCTCTGCAAGGTACCTGTAGAAGACGGGGCTGGTGGGGCTGCGTTGACAGTGCCCAGGTTTGTCCACCGAGAGGCAAGCCCTGCCCTGGCCATGGCACGCTGATAGCTATCATAGAGCGTCTTTCCATACTAGGGAGAGAACACAAAAGAAGCAAGAGAGTAATCCCGAATTCTGCACTCAACTGCAAACTGCAAATTCAGGGAAAAAAGGACTTCATCACTACTCTTTTTATTCCTTTCCTGAGATTTTTTTTAGTCGACGTATTTCAATGAAAAAAATCCACAAATCATGTTTTCATATGTTAAATAATTTTCCAGATTAGCAGAGTCAGGTAATACCTTCACCTCCCCATTAGAGGAGAGCTTTAGCCACGCACTGTGATGACATATATCTTTATGTAATTCTACTGCAGATTGTATCTCATGTTTCTTAATTACACAAGACACTTGCAAAGCTCTCCATACATCAATAGCTGAGATGTCTCATGTGAAAGTAAATCCCTGACTCTCAGGTCATGGGAGAGGTCCATGTATCAACCACTCTCATTTACTTAAAAAAACCAATGGGCAAATAAGGTAATATCTATGGCATTGACCCCTTAATGGCACTGACTCAGTAAGAATGGATCAGCTGTTTCTCAGTAGCACAAAGACTGGACCCAGGTCAGGAGGCTGGTTAGCAAAGATAGGGTGAGTCCGAACGCTCTCTCACCTTGGCGATCCTGATTCCCGTAACCCACTGATTTAGCATTCTTGCGTCATCACAGCAGAGATACTTGATATACTGGGACTCCTTCTGAATTTGGGGATGCTAGAAAAAGCCATTTCAAAGACCGTTTATAAGCTCTTCACTTATTAGCACCTTTCAAAAACATTTAAAAGTTCTCACAGTGTATGAGATTTCCTGAGATGGTGGCCAAAATTACCGGTAGCAATTTTAGAATTAGGAACAGGAGTGTATTTTTTTACAGAAGCTAAATTTGGAAAGAATTTCAGAAAGCAGTGACATGATTTATCACAAGCATTTTTTACTATATTATCAATAATCATTTTCATCCCTGCTTTTTGAATGCTTGAAAGCCTTCACATTTATCACGTTTGTAGCCCTACAAGAAGTCCGAATCATTTCTTCATTTATCAGATAAAGGAACTTACCTGATGTAATTCTTATGTCAAGGGATTAATGCTTTTGTGACTCCCCATCAGTCCTAGGGTTACTTCTGCTACCAGGGATCCAGGGTTTCACCCCGTCTTGTCATCTCTTACCCAAATGGGCCATTTTGGCCTCCAGATGGATGGCGCAGAGAAGGAATATTTCTGTCTAATCTTAAGTGGCAACGAGCTAGGTGCTGCACTAGGGGTCATCCAGGCCTTCCAGGAGCTCCTGATCAAAGAGAACAGTGATGGGCAGGCACGAAGGGGAAGGAGAGTCACGGGTCCTTGGTCATACAGAACATCCTTGTCTTTCAGCACCAGAAACAGCTCCTTAATTTCCAATGGCATTCCTGTTCTGACTGTCTTGTAAGAGGGGCAAAACATGGGTCTCTCCAGCAATTTGATGCCTATAGTTCTTAGAAAGCAGCTGTTGTTTTGTTTTGTTGTTTTGTTTCTGGAGGAATTTTAAAAGTTGATCTTGTTACCTTTGGCTTGATATATTAAAATTTCTTTGGTTTGTTTTTTGGTGCATGTCATGTCATGGGAAAGCCAGGTTCCCAGGAGCAGACTTAGACTGTATTGTGCTTGCAAAGAAAGCAACTGTCTGGGTAGAGGGATCCACTTAAACAGCACAATCAACAATTTCTTAAGTACGTACTTCATCTAAATAGACTAAAATGTAGTCATTCCCTTAAGCATAATGGCTGTTGAGCACAAAAGAGAGGCAAGAAATCTTGACCTTGAGTTCTAACTATGGCTCCTCCTATGATCAGGAGATCAAAGTATAGACTTTGGTTCATTTTCTCCAACATTAGTGGGGTGCGTCTCACCAACTTCCTTATGTCACATGTGTACTAAGACTGTATACAGAAGAATTAAGCATCAGATGACCCTGAAGGTCTCTCGTGATCCTCAGGTTTTATGATTCTAAGATGAGCTGCCTAGTGGGCTCCTTTCTGTCTCCCTCGTGAAGGCAGGAACCTTCTAGGCTCCCAGGACATCATACAGGAAGTTCCTGTGCTCATTCTTCTGTCGTGTCTTAGGACCTTGCCAAGGGGTTTACTCCCTTGAGCTTTTCGCTGAAAAAATATTTGCAAAGACGTTTAAGGAAAAATGCTGGCTCCATGCCACTGGTTAGACTCTTCCACCATTGGTTGCTCCTGACCACAGAAAGAGAAGCTCCTGCAGGATGTGCCATGCAGCACACACAGGTCAGGGCACCTGCAGATGGTTGTTCAAAGGGATCTTACAGATCCTCTAAACTTATCAGTGGGAGACCAGAGAAGTTAAGCCATTTATCCAAGGTCAAAGAGAGTGGCAGAAGCATAACAAGAACCAAGGACCTGTGCATTCAACAGATACATCTGGGGTGCTCAGAAATATACCAATCCCTAGGTAGACAGAGATGAGAAAGAAAGGCTCACACTGCACTTAGGAAGTGGAGGCTGGGATGTCACTGGGGGAGACATATGTGAACAAATGTATGATCACTCTATGACATGGTAAAGTTTGTAGTAAAAGTTGGAAACCAGAGAAAGGCTCTTTGGACAAAGTGACAGAATGTTATAATACATTTGAGGAACGTGTAGAAATTCTGTGTGGCCAGGACCTGGGAGCCAGGGAAAGAAGAGGCAGAAAAGAAGCTGGAGAGGAAGTGGAGTCAAGGGCCTTGTGTCAAAATAGCATCTGGACGTTGTCCTCTAGGCAGTGGGGCCATCAGACCTTTGGAACAGCAGGGCATCCAGGCAGCAGTGGTGGCTGGGGCCGTGGAGTGAGGAGGAAAACAGACAGAGAGGGCTGCATGTGAGCCGTCTCTCATAGAAACCAGAACTTAAGGGACTGGACAACAGAGGGGAGAGGAGGGACTTCAAGGATGCTTTCTCTATTTCTAGCTTGGAAAAGTAGGTGGGTATTATGGGTTTCATTGTGTTCCCTCCGAAGACATGCTGAAGTCCTAACCCTCTGTTTAGGTATCTGTGTGAATGTGACCTTATTTGAAAACAGGATTGTTGCAGATGTAAGTAATCAGGTTAAGGTGAGCTCATACTTGATTAGGCATTTATATTCTACTAGGGGAGAAAGCCAATAAAAATACAAAACACTAAGTAATGTAATTTCAGACTGTGAAGAAAATATAGCAGAGTAAGGGTAGGGAATAGGTGAGTGATGGAGCAGAAGTCCAGAACTCTTCCCATGACCCCTCACCACCTCTCATCGGAGCTCAATAGAGACATAATTCCTCCTGGAGGATGGTCACTTCCACTGCCCCATCAGACCTCACCTCAGAATGCAGTGAGAACAAATTCCCAAAGGAGCAACTTCACAGGAAAGGGGAGTGTGCATCAAAGAGCAAGCACAAGGGCAGAAATGATTCTGGGGTACCAAGTCCTTTCTTGTGAGTATGGACAGCCTCTTAAAAAACTTCTTAATTTACTTATTAATTTTTAAAAATTGAAATGTAGTTGATATGTACAATATTACGTTAGTTTCAGGTGCACTACCTAGTGATGTGACACTTGCCTACATTATGAAATGATCACCAGGGTACGTCTAGTAACCATCTGTCACCATACAAAGTTATTGCTGTATTACTGACCATACTGCTCAACCTCTTAAAGGACAGGTGATGTCTCTACTGCCTTCTCAGAGTGTGGCCCCTGGGCCATCAACATCACCTGGGAACTTGGTGGAAGTGTAAATTCCGGGGCCTGATCCCAGACCCACAGAATCAGAAACTCTGGGGGCCCAGCCACCTGTGTTTTAACAGCTCTCCTGGTGAGTCCCATGCACTCTGAAGTTTGACAACCACTGGTCAACAGAAATATTTAATTGGTTCTAGAGTGCAGTAAGAATGCCTTCCAGTTCTTGCTTGCTGGCTGTGTCTCTCGACATTGCACTGATGGTCTTATGGGCATATATTGTTTAATCTGCACGGGAAGTGTTCTTAAAAAAAAAATTGTTTATTTATCTTTTTGGCCGTGCCATGCGGCACGTAGGATCTCAGTTCCCCAACCAGGGAGATCGAACCCATGCTCCATGCAGTGGAAGCAAGGAGCCTTAACCACTGGCCCACCAGGGAAGTCCCCAGGAAGTGTTCTTATTTCCACTTTGTAGCAGAGGGCAATGAAGCTTAGAGAGTCCCGACAATGCGCCAGGTGACAAGGCCAGGACTCAAATTCCCATCTTCCCGACAGCGCCCCACCACAGACTGTGATAGTCCGTGAGTTTATCCTGAGTAAGAAACTCCCGGGCTGAACTTCTCAGCCCTTGCATGTCTGTGGAATCACACGATCTCTTAACATGCTTCGCCATAATCTCCAACTCCTTTTGCAATGTATGTGCACATTCTTTGAACTCTTTAAATCTGCTCACCCTCATGAAGTATTTGCATGTCAAGAATTTTTTTCCCCACGGTGGACAGAAAGGCACATAAATGACCAAAATGTTCATAAACAAATTAGGTTCTCCAAACGATGACAGACACTTTTACTCAGCAAATGAATAGAAATTCCTAATATTTCGGGAAGGAACTGAGAAGCATGCCTAAGAGCAAATTAAGCAGGGTGATTGCCCGTAAGGAAACTGGCTTGAGAACAGAACTGATCATTCTGAGGAAAGGGAAATGTGTGTTCCCCTTGGGTTGTTTGTCCTGATTCATGTTTGTTCTTGGATCATCAGGCCTTCTTTTTTTTTCACCTCTGAGCCCTCTCTCCCATCTGGGAGGCCCTGCCCTCGGTCTCAGCGTTGCCACGCTCAGTGCAGCCCAGGGTGACCTGTGTCCCAGATCAGACAGTTCAGCCCATGATTCTGGGACCTAGTTCCAAGCTTGTGAGTCAGCACCAGAAACCGCATTCCCACCCCGCTCACTGGGTCTAAATCCTCAGCCTGGGAACCTCTAGGTCTGAGAGCTCTTCTTTCTCTTGCTGGAAATCCCTCCTCCAGCCTCTGGACCCTGGCCACGGGTTTGGGCCCTTGCCCCCTCTGACAACGTTCATTCTATTTGTCCGCTCCGAAGTGGATTCCGTCACCAGCTGGTGAGCCCTGACTGTTGACGCTTACAGCTAGAACACATTCTGATCCTCTGAGCGCAAAACTGGACTGTGCGGAGGAGAAACTAAGATTCCTGGGCCCCATCCTTAAATGGTTTGATTCAGTGGGTCCCGGCCCTGGAACCTGTATTTCTAACCAGCCTCCCCTGACTCTGATTCAGCCAGTTTATTGACCAGCATTTCAGAACCTCTCTCTAAAACCTTCTCCCTACCTAAGAGATGTGGGCAGTGCTGCAGTGCATGCCCATGTGCAAAGGAGGGCCTCCATTTTGGTAATTTCTCAGGGTCTCAGGATTGCAAACAAGGGCCATGGGGGCAGACAGAAACACAATGAAGACAAAGTTCAAGGGCAGCTTGGGCTGGGGGGAGGCAGAGAAGAGATTCTGTGTCCTAGCAAACAGTGTCCGAGAGAATGGCCTCTGGGCCACCCCCCAGCTTCTCATCCTGGCTCAGCCACTTCCTGGTCGGGAGTCTCCGTGCCCAGGTTCCACATCTACAAACTAGGGAGAATTGTGGCTCTCACCTCATAAGGCTGATAAAGGGATTAAGTGAGTTAATATATGGAAAGTGCTTAAATCATTGCATTACACATGAAACATTTCTCGTGTGCTTTTTGTTCATTAAGAAATGTCATTTTCTGACAAAGGGATAGAAATGAAGAATAGCTTAGTGGTGGCCAGGGGGTAAGATGGGGATGGGAATAGGAGCGAAGCAGGTGTAGTTATAAAGGAGGGTACCTTGTGGTGATGGGAATGCTCTGAATCTTGACTGGACCAATGTTAATATCCTGGTTATGACATGGTACGACGGTTTTGCCAGATGTTACCATTGGAAGAAACTGGGTAAATGGCACATGGGACCTCTCTGTAGTATTTCTTACAATTGCATATGGATGTACAATTCTCAAAATAAAGTTTAATTAAAAAAGAAAAGAAATGGCATTTCCTTCAAACTGCTGCATTTTTTTTTTTTTTGCTCTACACGGGCCTCTCACTGCTGTGGCCTCTCCCGTTGCGGAGCACAGGCTCCGGACGCGCAGGCTCAGCGGCCATGGCTCACGGGCCCAGCCGCTCCGCGGCATGTGGGATCTTCCCGGACCGGGGCAAGAACCTGTGTCCCCGGCATCGGCAGGCGGACTCTCAACCACTGCGCCACCAGGGAAGCCCAAACTGCTGCATTTTTAAAAGACAAATGGGAGCAGTAGAAGGGGATGCCCAGGCTGCTTGTGCCCCATCAGGGTTTTGAGAATGGTTGGGTCAAGGCGATACCCAACTCCTGGAGTAACAGGCGTGTGACAGTGGCACACGAGTGTGGGCGCCTCTGAAATGATGGAGTGGGTTCATGATCACCTCAAGTGACAGGGTTCTTGACAAAGAATATGTCTGCTACCAATGTAAATGTAAGCACTGTCCTGAATTTGTGAAAATGATGTAAACCTATAGTATAGACTGGCCTACTTCCTCGGGAGAGGTGACAGCTTTGCCAGGAGCACACATGCACACACAGAGTCCAGCTTCGGATGTTTCCAGAAACATGGTAATGGGGTCTTCCTGGGGGTGGATGGGTGACGGACATACAAAGGTGCCTCACCAGGAACCTGGTCTCATTAACACCTGTTCCACAGACTTCTAACCCAGAAGGAAACAGAGGAACCCTGATTCAGAAAGGAGAAATTCTGGGGGATTTCAGGGAGGGGCAATATTGGGGTTGGGGATTAAGAGGTACAAACCATTAGGTATAAAATAAGCTACAAAGATATACTGTATAACACAGGGAATATAGCCAATATTTTATAATAACTATAAATGGAGTATAACCTTAAAAATTGTGAATCGCTATATTGTACACCTGTAACTTATATAACATTGCACAGCAACTATACTTCAATTAAGAAATAATAAAAAATGAAGTATATTTGTAGGAAAAAAAAATTCTGTACACAGCCCTGCACTGGGGCCAAGTGGGATGTGCTAACCCCTGCTCTCTGGTGTGAGGCTGTGAAGGGAAAGGAATCTGTGAGGTCGGAGAAAATGGCGTGGCCAGAACAGCTGCATAAATTCCCTGAGTTCATTTCTAGGGGTCAGTCGTTACAGCTGGCAGATAAAAGTTACTTTTGGGGCTTCCCTGGTGGCGCAGTGGTTGGGGGTCCGTCTGCCGATGCAGGGGACGCGGGTTCGTTCCCCGGTCTGGGAGGGTCCCGCGAGCCGTGGCCGCTGGGCCTGCGCGTCCGGAGCCTGTGCTCCGCGGCGGGAGGGGCCACAGCGGTGAGAGGCCCGCGTACCGCAAGGAAAAAAAAAAAAGTTACTTTTGCCCAACCTTCCAAAATATGGTGCTAATGTCAACCTTACCAGACACCTGATAATACCTATTGCCTTTTGATAATATGCACCTTAAAAAGTTTCAAGACCCAGTAATGCTATTTTTAGAAAAAGATATATTTTCCTATTTTTTGTATTTTCTATATTTTTCTAGAAAATCTTGTCAACTTCCTAATTTCTAAAGATGTCTTACAATGGAATAAGAGTCTGATAAATAAAGAACTAAAAGACTGATTGTCTTGTCAATAAAATTGTAACTAAAATTTGTTCAAAATATAGAGTTCTCTTTTTCATAAAGTGATGAAGAAATCCAGACAGATTGACTTGAAAGTTTGAGACTCAAATAACAGGCTTTGGAGAAATGATCTGAGTTGGTAGAAACGTTTCCCCCTTTCCTATTTTGGTTTACAATAAAAAGCTTATTATGTTATACTTGTAGTTAACTGTATAACATTTAACATTTTTCTTCTTAAAAGGAAACATTACCTTAAATTGCTTACAGATCTAAAGTAAGGACTTCTTAAACCTACCTTTAAAACAAAGCAGTAGTCAGTGGGTGCTTTGTATTTCATTTTACACTGAATCCCATAGTAAATGTTGACATTTTCAAACTGTATAAAACATGCCAGATCTCGAGATGTCTGAAAGAGAAGGAAAAAATAACCTCAACCTAGCTGACAAGTAATATTTTTCTAAGGTCGTTCTTCATGGCACAACGAGGCATTACATTTTAGTAGGAAAATACAGAATTTCAGGTAATTTATATAAGCATCTACCACGTATAGCTTTCTAAAACCCAAGCCTACATTTTAAGAAGGAAAGAGCACATCCAGGCAAAACAGCATGCCACAGACCAAAAGTGGAGCAAAAGATTATACTGCTGTTCTAGCACCTACGCGTGGACTCCCAGAGATGACTGGAATCATTACTGATGGGGTTCAGACAAGGTGACCGAGCACCTAGTCAAATATTTCATTTTGTCTTTTGCCATTCTAAGTCATTGATGGATTTCATGACTGAGCATTTAGAAAAAAGTCCCCCTCAGGATGAACAATGAGAGGTAAATTTGATGCTCAGAAAATTCGCACACACTTCATACACTTCTTCCTGAGGAGAAAAGATTCCTTTCATGCCTTCTCTTTAGGGCTGGTGGTGTTGCTGTGGAAACAACCCTCTCCTCCATATATAATATGCATTGAGAAGACATCAACCTCTAATCTACATATTTGGTTACACTTCAATTACAAATTTGTTCTGTTACTTTTTCCCCCTCACGTTCTATAATTCTTTACTGAGTTAATGAATAAAAAAATAAAGGGTAGAATTGCTACATCTCAATGCACAATTATTCCTTTATATATGGTAGTATACTTTTTTCTTGTAAGATGTTTTCTTCTGATTTTCAAAGTTTTAGTTTTTTTATTAGAAAAATAAAACATATTCATCATAATTTTAAAAATAAGTTATTTTATATATAGTAAAACAAAAATTTTCCTTCATCACTCTTTTTTTTTCTAATTTCATTCTCTTCTCCAGAGAAGACATTCTTCCAAATGTTTTTGGGGATACATTTATATACCTATGTATGTGCAGACATACCCACATACATATATACAATTATTAAAATATAAATGAGATTTTACTCTCAATATTTTTCCATGACTTTGTTCTTTTTCTTAACAATATATCTTGGGGTCTTTCTATGTTAGGACATATGAAAGGATATATCACATTCTTTGTATAGTTGCATAACAGTACCACCATCCTACTATAGATGACTAGTGGTTACTTCGATATTTTGCTATTACAAAATATATTGTGCATATGAGCAAATGTTTCTGTGGGGTAGATTGCCAAACATGGAGCTGTCCTTGGAAGGGGTATTCCCTATTATATTTGCAAAAATTTTGCTAAACTGTCCCCCAAGTTGGCTGTACTAGCTTACATTACAAACTTCCGTACATAAGAGTGCCCATTTTTCTTACCCACTCCTGATGAAATTTGCATATCATCAATATTGTTAGTGTTATCAATCTCACGGGAGGAGAAATTTCACTTATTTACATTTTCCCGATTACTAATAAGATAGAGAAACTTTTTAATTATTCACTGGCTACTGATATTTCTGTTTCTGTGAATTCTCAGTAAGCATAGCTGTTTTTCTATGAGTGTGTTTATCTTTTTCTTAATGAGTTGCTGAAGTCTTTTTATGGATATTCATACCAGGTTATACACGCTGCAAATGTACTCTCAGACTCTAGAGCTAGTCTTTAACTTCTTGTTTGGTATCTCTGGCCATAAGGAGAGTTAAACACAACTTTATATAGTCAAATCTGCCAATTTTCTTTGTTAAAATTTTGAGTTTTTAGTCTTGTTTAAGAAGGCTTCCCCACTGCCAAATTATGAGAATATTGACCATATATTTTCTCCTAATATTTTGTAATTTTGTCCAAATACATTTAATCAACGTAAGATTTAATTTGGAACATGGTATGAGGTAGGAAGCTATATTTTTTAATGGATATAAATTATTTCAATGCTATTTGTTGAGTATCACATTCTTTCCCCACTGCTATAAAATGCTCACTTGAATTTCTCTTATGTTAGATGGCTCTCTGTTGATCTGTTTTCTCTTCCTGTACTGTTTTTGTCTAATGTTTTGACATTTGGGAGGAGGGGTTCTTCCATAATGTTCTTTAAAATTTTTGTGTGTGTCTGTTTTGGAACCGCATCTCTTTCTGATGAATTTTAGAATCAGTTTTTGAACTTCAAGTAAAAAGAATCCTATTGACATTTTTTTATTGGAATTGAATATATAGAAAAATTGGGGGGAGAATTAATATCTTTTCATCTAGCAACATTGTACATTTCTGTTTATTCAGTTCGAACTCATTTCCTTTATTAAGTTTTCTATTTTATGCCATATAAGATCTTGAACCTTTCTTGTTAAGTTTATTGTCAGGTATTTTGTATTTTTTTGTTCTTGCAATGCATGGAATCTTTTGCAGCATATTTAATTTGCATATTGTTTATATAAAGGAAAACAATTTCTTATTTGGTAAGTTTATTTGGTCCACTGGGACCAAACTCTTAAGTTTTTCAGTTGAGTGTCTTATATTGTCTGGTAGACAATCATGTTGACTGTGAATAAAGAGAGTTTTGCCTCTTCTTTTCCAGTAATTATACTTGTTATTCTTTTTCTTGACTTCCTGGCTAGTTCCTCCATTAGTGTTAATGGCAGCAGAGACAGAAAGGATGCCTGTCCAACTCCAATGTGAATGCTTCTAATTTTCGTCCCTAAGTGTGTTGTTTTTGATAGGCTTGTATGTCTCACTTATATGTAAATGCCGAAGACATAACATCTCTAAAATAAAACAAATAATTTGTGGGTCAACTGTTATGCCCCCCACGCTTGGGACTGGAATGAAGATAGCACAGATGGGGAAAGTATGAATTCTAAGACTGAAACGAAATAGGAGTGGTAGCTGCTCTGGACCAAGAATTTCCCATAATGCTCTCCTGCATTCCACAGAGATGACAGTCTTCTAACTAGTGGGAATAGCCCTGGATAGTCACTATGACTTCACCTGCAAGGGATGTGGGTCAAGCCTTATTAGAAGCAGCTTGCAATTTGAAAATATGCCGTTGGGGGGTGCCCTGGATTTGGCAGTGAAGGCAAGACGATTTGGCTTACTCCAGATATAGAAAGAGAGACAGACTACAACTTTGCAAAGGTGAGCAAAGGATGGAAATGGCCATCATCTAAGAAAGGTCTTAGAGTTAGAATGGTCTTAGAAAGGTCTAAGAGTTAGAATGAGAGTTAAAATTACATTTCAAAGAAGACAAATTTACTATGTGCTTGTAGATTTGAGGCAATAATCCTAAATTACCAAGTAGAAGTGAAATGATATCTAAGATACTCTGCTAAGTTAGGCAGGGAAATGCATATAATTCAGAGAACAATTTAAATATTCAAGTTATAAAAGCTAAAATCTAAATTAAACTCTATCAAGACTTCTAATACCACTATGATTCCAGATAAAAGAAGTTTTACTGTAATGACTACAGAACAATAGAGTAAAAAGGGGGGAAAAAGTCCTCAAAGATCGATATGTGAAGAAACAAATTAATTTCTAAAAAAGCGCTTCAGTCATAATTTCTGAAACCTGACTTTAAAGTAGATAAAACTCTTCACCTTCAAGAGAGAGCAGTGGAAAGATTCAGGATTTCTGTAATTCTGTCCTAATAGGATATGTATCTGTATAAACATTGTAGTAACATGAATCTCACAGCAAAGTAGAATGTATTTAAATTACCACCTGAGGATTTCTTTACTTTCACTTTCATGAAATGCCTTTTTGCAAAAGCATATCTTTTTTTTCTGACCTTAGTCTTTCCTTTGGGGACATAATAAATTCCAGAAGCTCGTAAAAGAAAATAGCGCCTTTTCCAGGATTTCTTCCCATCTTCTTTCAAATAAAGAGCTCCCTCTAGTTCTGGCACAATGATGGATGTTCCACAAAAACTCTCCTGAAATTGAGATTCCAACGATATAAAACCCATGAAAGATAAAACACATATTTTGTTCACATTTAAACAAACTGTGGCCAACTAGCCTTCAAGCTAAAAATCGTTTTGTCTACAGCTTTGATTGAATGCATATATTGACACTGCATACCATTTGCCAAAAGACAGGAAGAACATGGTGGTTGAGTCTCAGCTCCTGAGTTAGACTTCCAGGCTTCTTGACCACTTAGCTCTGTGACCCTGAGCAAGTGACTCAACCTCGGTGCCTTTACTTGCAAAATCAGAGTAACGATAGCCCCAGCTTCATAAGGAAGGTTGTGAGTACAATCTTGGTATATTATAAAAGAAAGCATTACCTAAAGTCTATTTCTGTTACTGTAAGTTGATAAATAGAAAACTTATTCCTGTGCCTGTAAGTGAAAAAATTACTGTTTCACTGCTAGTAAATGGAAAAATTAAAATATACAATTCTATACATAAAATATTTTGTACATTAATATTTTATTTTTGGCATAATTTTCTTTTCTTTTACATTGAGATACAATTGATATAGAATATGTATTAGTTTTCAGTATACAACCTAATGATCTGATGTATGTATATACTGCAAAATGATCACCATCTTAAGTGTAGTTAACATCTATCACCTCACGCAGTTACACATCCTTTTTTTCTTATGATGAGAACTTTTAAGATCTACTCTTTTAGCAACTTTCAAATATACAATACAGTATTGTTAGCTACAGTCACCATGCCGTACATTACATCCCCAGGACTTATTTATTTTATAACTGGAAGTTTGTACCTCTTGACCCCCTTTAGCCATTTCATGCATCCCTACCCCCGCCTCTGGCAACCACAAATCTCTTCTGTGTATCTATGATTTCAGGTTTTTTGTTTTTTGATTCCACACATAGATGAGACATACAGCTATTTGTCTTTCTCTGTCTGACTTATTTCACTTAGCACTCAAGTTCCATCCATGTTGTCAAAAATGGCGAGATTTCCTTTTCAGGGGATAGTTTCTTATCAAAGAAGAAAGAAGACAATTATTAATACTGTAGTATCAGAAAAGGATAGTGACAAAGTACATTTTCTAGGTGCAGATGTTTCAAACTCAAAACATGCATAGAAGTATATAATTCTTAATAAATTTCTTTTAAAAGCAGTACAAGAAAATTACATATTATTCTATCTTTCAGTTCAAACACTCAAACTTATTTTTGGCTTTGGTTTTTTATAACTCTCAACCTCCTTTCATTCAGTCTCATAAAAGCAGAATAAACTTAATTTTGCATCCTTCAAGTAAATGTATGTGTAGTGGATCTGGGTGACATCTTTGTTCATATCTTTCCCAGTTTCCCCCAGTTTAGCTGGTATTAGTTGCCTTGTCAATAATCTCTCTCTCTTTTTTTTTTTTTTTTTTGGTCCGCATAAATTTCCTTTAATAATTCCTCCATTTCCAGTAGGATTTCATTTTGAGGTTTAACGTATCAAGCCAGTATAATGTTTTACAGTTTTAGTAATTCTGGATTCCGAGCCCTTTAAGATGAAAATGGAAGTGCAAAGTTTACTTAAGAAATTTCATTTTCTTCGTTTCTAACATCTAAGCCTTCATCCTCTTCATCGTCATCTTCTGCTTGTTGATCCTTTCTTAGTCGACAGGTGGATACCTGTCCTGTTCCAGATGCACACTTAGCTGACACTGATCTCTGAAGACGTGACTTTGAATTTGCTCTTATGATATCTAAACGGGATGAACAATCTGGTGGATACAGAGAATTTCAGAAAACCTCTAAATCTTCTTCACCAATCTTTTGTGTATTTTGGTAGGTAGTAGTGGAGACGTCTAAAGCTTTGCCGTGAAATAACATTTCGATAGTGATAAATTCTGAAAATATAGTCTTTATATTCTTTGTTTTCTGCTTTTCAAAATTGTCAGTAGTTTCCTCCAGATGATGAGTTGTTCGAATAGCATACATTGTAGCTCTTTGTAATTCAGCTTCTTTTAAAAAAATTAATTAATTATAATGTTTGGTTGCATTGGGTCTTCATTGCGGTGCGCGGGGTTTCTCTAGTTGCGGCAAGGGGGGCTACTCTCTGTTGCGATGTGCAGGCTTCTCATTGCGGTGGCTTCTCTTGTTGCAGAGCACAGGCTCTAGGCGTGCGGGCTTCAGTAGTTGTGGCACACGGGCTTCAGTAGTTGTGGCACACGGGCTCAGTAGTTGTGGCTTGCGGGCTCAGCAGTTGTGGCTCGTGGGCTCTAGAGCGCAGGTTCAGTAGTTGTGGTGCACGGGCTTCGCTGCTCTGCAGCATGTGGGATCTTCCCGGACCAGGGCTTGAACCCATGTCCCCTGCAGTGGCAGGTGGATTCTTAACCACTGTGCCACCAGGGAAGTCCCTGTAATTCAGTTTCTGCCTGTGAAATAACATGTCGATCAGATGGGCTTCTCTGACGTGTTCTTTCTGAGTTAACTGTTTAGCTCCTCAATTCTTTGCTGTTAATGTTGCTTTGAGGTCATCTCGTTTCATTTTTACAGTGGGTTCCGTAACCGAAAGTGGGGTCCAGCTGCTTGCTGCTCAAAAGTCATTATAAAGAGGCCAGTCTGGTGGAAAGGAAACTTTGCTGTATTTTGAATGCCGGCAACTGGTGGGGAGGGCAGACGCCTCTCCAGAGGCCGACTCCCCCCACTGACAGTCAGAGGGCAAGAGCTTTTATAGGTGGAGGGAGGGGGCTACATGCAGAAGCAGCACAGTCAGCTCTGACCGTCATCTTGACATTGATCATCGGTGGTCTGATCAGCGTCATCTTGATTGTTTTAGGTACAGTTAATCTTAGGTTCCAGGGTCGGTTTGTTTCCATTTCTTTGAGGCCGATTCTTGGAATTGTGGCAGCTTATGTCATGGCTACAGTCTGGTCATCATGTAGTTAACTTCTTCCACCTGGTGGGGTTTTCAGTACCTATAAGACAGCTCACCGGATATGGCGCAGAATGTGATCTATGGCCCTTGAGGAGGAACCAAAGGTCCTTGACTTTGCTTAATGACTAAACTATTATTATTTGGTCTCCTTTGTTTTCCTTTGTTTCTGCATTTTCTCACTTCTCGGATTAAGCTTATTCTTTGGCTAATGTTTTTCCACAGACAAAAGGCAGGCTGAGGACATGGGGGGCACAGACCACAGGGTCCTGCTCCCTTCCACTTCCAGAAGCTTGCAAAGGTTCGACTACTTCGGCTTCAACTCTTTCAGCCTCTGCTTGTCGATAATCCTGAAGTTTGGCAAACTCATCAGCCAAGTTTTTCAGGCCCTGCTTTAAATTTGGGGTCTCCATAGAGGCTCACGCGTTGATTTCATTCCCCAGGAGATCTACTCTGTCTCCGCACATAAGCAGCAGCGATCTGGCACAAAACGCTTCTCGTCCCGGTTTTCCAAGCTGTGCCTCCACATCTGGCCTCGCGCGTGGTGGGAGACCCCGGGCTGGGGCCCGACCACAGGGGCTCCGAGGTGCCCAGGCATGTGCGGGGGACGCGAGAGCCCTTCAACGATCTCTTAAATTCAAGCAGATTTGGGGTCCAAGTTCGAAAGCAGGATAATGCTGATTTTTCACAGCATAACATGCTTTGTATTTTCTTTCCCATCCGGCTTTTGAAAAACTGCTGAAGTCTTCCAACAAGACCTATTCAGGCAATTGTATAAACCAAGGCATAACCAGTCCTTGATTTACAGACAGCTGCTGATGCAATAAGCACTGATTAATGGCCAAGGGCTGTGTCAGGAAACTGCTCACTCCCCTTCCATGTCTGTCTGTGTCCATCACTGCTGGGGATGCTCAGAACCTGAATCTCCCTGCTGCTGGGGATGCCTGGTGCTTTATCTCCCTCAACTCAACCTGGAGACTCTTTGATAAATGCAGAAAGAATGTCCCCACTCCCACCGTTGGCCTCCCTGGGAAATACCCACTGTGTTCTTGGTCCCAGGAACCAAAACTTGTAGCCTGTCTCCAGGACCTTGGGAGTGCATGGCAGCAAGGTTGTAGGGCCTGCTCCATCGGGAACAGGGCTGGGAGTGCTGGCAGGGCTAGAACCCTGTGCAGGGGTCTGGGCAGGCCTTGGTGCCTGGGAGAGGGTGCCCTTCAGCATCAGTGAATTGGCTCCAGATGGGAATGTGGGCCAAGGTGTCAACAGGTCTTCTGAGTTTTCAAGAGAAGCCCCAAATCTCCTAACTCAAGAAAAGGTCAACATGTTGTCGGGGACAACAAAAATCTGTCTGGGGCTCCTATGCCCATTTGTGACCTGTGATCTGGCGTGCATCTGCATTAGGGTCGGGGTACAGAGCCTTGATTTTGAGCAAAGTTGCTATGTGAAAACTCATTAGAAGTTTCAGAAAATTAACCATCAAATGAACTTCTGGAACACAGCCCTGTAAGTGATAATCCAGACATGTGTACCGTACTTTACATGCTGTGCTTCCACTGCCTCCCTAAGTCTTTGTAATAATTCAATACAATACAGGAAACCAAGGTTCTTGGATTTGCCCAATAACACATGAACTTCAACAGGCAGAGGCAAGCTCGGATCAGATCTCTTAACTGCAATCTCACACTTTCTACCACACCTGGCTGCTGGAAGGGCACCTTAGAATTCACTGCAAAGAAGTCACGCCTGACTGTGGAGCACATAAGCAATGAAATATATGGTCAGAGGTGAGTTTTATGTGGATTCATGTCTTTTAGTCAAGAATTACGAATCCAACTTCATGAAGAGTAAAATACATTGTCGAAAGCAAAACTTTTTAACAACTGACTCCAAGAACCAGTTTAATTGTCTAAATCGCTATAATTTAGTAATGATTTGATTTTAAAACCCCAAGTTAAAATTTCAGTGTGTCTCAGAATCGCCCATTGTTCTGAGAAGCAAATCATTTAAAAATACAGTTAACTCTCTTTTATTCTACTCTACAAAATTAAACATACCTCAAGCAAGGACTCCTTGTTCTTCGCATTCATTTTCTCATTTGTTTCCTTGCTTTCTTTTTTTCCTCTGTTATCCAAGTAAAAATTCTAAATAAAACAGTAAAAGATCAAATCAGTAAGTGCTCATTACCATGGTAGCCACTGCACGGAACTCGCGGTCTTGCTGGAGAGAGGAGACATACCTGGAGGAAGTAAACTGTCGACCACAGTGTATGGTCTCTGTCAATCAAGTGCTTATGGAGGGACTTGCTAAGCACTGACCACTGCCCCACTGGCCAGAAGTAACACCTTCCCTTCCTCCCAGAGGGCACATTCGATGAAGAAACAAGCAAAGAGAGAGATGACTAGCAAAGGATACAATGTCATTTAATTGTTAAATTCCATGGTCTAGAACATGAGTCAAATGCTGGAAGCTGGGAGACCCCAGTGCCCTTGGAAGAGCCCAGAACCAGAGGATGGTAGAGCCCGTGTCCCATGTCCCAGGCCTTTGATCACCATGTAGGATCCCAAGGCCTTGAGGACTAGAGATTCTGGCTTATCCAGAGAAGCACGAAATCTGGATTTTTATAAGCACTGGCAACTAATTTTAATTTTTAAAAACCACGTGGGTCAATCAGAACATAAAGTTTGCTACTTGGCAACTTCTAAGGACAGAGAGAAGCAGAAAGGGCATTTCTGGAAAGAGAACCAGCTTAGCAAAAGAAAGACCAGTTTAGAAGCACTCACGATTTTGGGGGAGTACCTATTACATGCCAGATCCTCAGCCAGGCGCTTTGCAAACATCACCCCCAATTCTAACAGCAAGGCTGTGAGGTAAGTGACAGTGCCCCCATTTTACAGGTTAGGAAACCGAGGCTCAGCAAGGTTAAATAGCTAGGGCACTGCACCCTGAATGAATACCAGGGGCTGAGTGTGTATGATGTGTGTGCCCTTACCACCACACCACACTACCCCTGAAATTGAAGGTCAGTGAAGTTCAAGGGCAGAGAGACTAAACCTCCTCTAATTCCAGCAGCTCCCGACTCAGGGAAGCAGGACCCTCGCCCCCTCCCGTGATCACCTCTTTGGAACATCTGTTTGTGGATTGTGTCAGGCGTGACCACTGCCACAGTCAAAGTATTTAGCACTTTTATGTGGAAATGTAGAGTTTGTAAGATAGTGCCTGAAAAAAATGTATTAAAACTAGAACATGTACTCATGGTGCATAGTGACTAAATTAAGGACCCTCCTGAGTCTAAACACAAATGTTTATTGACACGATGGGAGTGTTTCTCCAAGTGTGATCCCCAGACCACCTTGATGCTCCATAAAATGCATGTTCCTGGGCTGCCAACCTACGGAACTGGAATCTCAGGGGGCCTGGGAATCTACACTCCAACACACTTCCTGGATGATTTTTACTTACACTGAAGTTTGAGAACAGAGTGTATTGGACAGAGAGGAAGCAAACCGCAGGCAAATAAAATTTGCAGAATTAGGAGATCTCCTAGAAATAGAATGCATAACAATGGCAACTTGCTAACTTAAACAGAGGAAATAAATCAAGTACAACTCCTTCCATAATTCTTATTGAATTATCTTTTAATATGTTTTTAAAGAAACTTTTATGTGTTATTTGAAAGGACAGCATAGTGAGAATTAGTGTGATTACTCTATAGGGTTTGGAAACGATTCTAATTTTACGTGTTTGGCTTGAGGACGGTGACTAATGTAATATGTAACGTATGCCACCTGCCAGAACTCTACACTGAGGCCTTACAGGTATGCTTGTCATTTCATCCTCACAGGAACTCCACAGTGTAGGTGCGATTGCTGTTTCACAGATAAGGAAACAGAAGGATTAAGTGATTTGCCCGAGGACAATTAGTGCCAGAGCTTTGAGTTTTTCATGACTTTTCTTGGCATTAAAATGCTCTAAACACCATAGGAGAGAACCCAGTATGACAGCGTGGATGGGCTTAATACCACTGAACTGCACACTTAAAAGTGGTTAAAATGGTAAATTCTATGTGTATTTTATGTGTATTTTGCCAAAAACAAACAAACAAACAAAAAGTGATGACCTAGTTGAGAGTGAATGTAGAGTGTGCTCCTAGCAAGCACACTTGCTTTAGGGCCCTAGAAAAAGTGTGAGCCTGTATGAGTTGAAAGAATGGACAGAGACTGTGAGGGAGACTCCAGGGCATGTGTGTTTCATCATCATCTGGGAAAAGGAGGGCACGTGTCGCCCTCTGCAGGACAGATAAGGGAAGAGCCTTTCTAAACATGAAGGGTCTCATTTTATGTAGTTATCGTGAAGGGTCAGGACGTAGCCGTGTCTTCTCTGAGACCCCCCTCACTTTTTCGGCTTCTGAATACCTTTTTTTCCCCTTCCAAGTGATAGTGCTATATTGTGTTTTTGTTTTAATGAAAATGCAAAAAGCACAAAGAAAATCCAAGCTGGAGATCACGCAGGGCAGTCCTTAGCAAGGACGGATTGCTCTTGGGTAAGAATTTGGAGTGCTCTGTAGCAAGCAGCAGAATTCAAAAGTTAATTATCCGTTGGGGACAATCTGAGCGGAACAATAAGGGAACTTTAAAATGGGAAATGAGACTTTCAGTGACAGCCTGCCTCTTTTTCTCACAGCTTCTGAAAATGCAAGATTTGAGAGCAGCAGGATAGGACAGAAACAGCAAATATGTTACATTTTTAATATCGCCTTTCTGGAATAAAGAGTAAATCAAATAAACACTTATCAATCCACGAGTAAATATTTGTGAGTGCCCTTTGCATGTAAAATATCACTGTTCTTAAGAATCTTTCTATCACACTGAAAAGATAAATATAAGTAGATGGCTATATATCTGTAGATGGGGGAACCATATAAGACACCGCATAAATGCAAAATGAGCTAAGTTCTATAGGTTTTCAGAGAGGAAGAACTCACTGTGAACCGAGATGATTAAGACTTACAGAGGAGGTCAAAGTTGGAACTTTGCCTTGAAAGGTGTTCATATTGAGGTAGGGAAAAAGGAATAAAGAGAGTGTGCAGGGCAGGAGGAAAAGCATGTAAAAACGCCCAGAGTTAGATAAATATTGGGGCTCTCTGAAGCAACCTAAATGTCCACCGACAGATGAATGGATAAAGATGTGATATATATTTATACAATGGAATACTACTCAGCCATCAAAAGAATGAAATAATGCCATTTGCAACAACATGGATGGACCTAGAGATTATCATACTAAGTGAAGTAAGTCAGACAGAGAAAGGCAAATATCATATGGTATCACTTATTTGTGGAATCTAAAGAAAAGGACACAAATGAACTTATTTACAAAACAGAAATAGACTCACAGACATAGAAAACAAACTTATGGTTACTAAAGGGGATAGGGGGGCTGAGGGGGACAGATAAAGTAGTAGTCTGGGATTAACATCCACACAGAACTATATATAAAATAGGTAAACAACAAGGACCTACTGTATAGCACAGGGAACTCTACTCAATATCTTATAATAACCTATAATGGAAAATAATCTGAAAAAGAATATATGTACATATGTATGTATTACTGAATCACTTTGCTGTACACTTGAAACTAACACAACACTATAAATGAACTATACTTCAATTTAAAAAAAATATTGGGTGCCTTTGGACAAGCAGCCTGGCTAGAGCTGGGGTACACCTGATGAAGACCTGACCATCACTCCCAATTCTTCTCTTCCGCCCTGTGTCAGAATTCACCGATGTCCGTCATCTAGTGATGACTGTGCAGTGCCTCCCCCGAGAATGGCTGGAGCTCATTTCCTTGCCCCCCTATGTTGGGTCTGGCCACGTGACAGGCTTCAGCCAACAGAACGTAGGTGGAAGGGACAGTGCCTCCATCTGAGCAGAGGACCTGAGAGGTGGTGTTGTGTGTTTCCACTCATTCTCCGGCACGCTCGCCTTTCACCAGGAGAGTGTGTCAAGGTGGCTGCTGGTCCGAGGACGACAAGAGGCACGTGGAACTCCCTGGATCTGACGCACATTCTGGAGCCGTGGACAGAGGACCCGATGACCTGCAGGCCCCAGACAGAGGAAACACCTGCTACTCTAAGCCACTGGGATTCTGAGGTTGTGTTCATGTCTCCAACCCTGGCTGATACACATGCCCACACTGGTTGCTCAGGGGCTCTGGGGCACTGAAGTCAAGACCAGACTTTCTTTTAAAGTAGGAGCCTCTCCTGGAGGCCGTAAATGTGATGCCTGTATGATTTTCCTTCTAGCTGGGCCTGGTCCCGGATGGTCAGAGATGAACCTTGGCAGGACACGGAGGTTGGAAAAGAGGAGGGACGCCATGAGGTCATTTTCCCCCACAGTGGCTGGTACCCTTCTACACCCGAGGGGAAGTGTGACATTGTGGTTCTCTCTGCTCCTCACTCGTGCAACCAAATAAACCATCACCACCACCAAATTTTGGTTAAGAAACAACAAACGGAATGAAAATTGCCTGAAATATCAATAGTGATGACTGTTGGAATGTGTGGATGATTTAACTTTCCTTTCTTCTACTTTTCAGTTTTTTTCCAATAAACTGATATTAATTTTGAAGTCAGAAACATACAGGATGTTACTAAAAGAAATGAACAGCAGTACAGCAAGCAGGCGACCTTACGTTAATATGTTTTCCCAATACCTTCTCTGAAAAAGAGATTCTTCAGGCTCCTAGCAAGAAGAACAGCTAATGTTAACACCAGGGTTTGTCTCCCTCTCCAGACACAGACCTCAGGCCTCACGCATCTCTTTTGGTTTCGGGCCCCCACTGGTCTTTGCACAGTGGGAGCTGTATGTCAGCGCAGCTGGGAAAACAAAACTCTTTGGGTTACGGCTGAGTTTCATTTGTTCATCTGAACATCTGGCACTCTTTTAGGATGAGCAGACCACCCTGTGATTACAGTCAACTGGGAAGAGGAACTTTCCTAACGCCAACCAGACCGAGAAACTAGGAGAAACTCAGCTGCTTCGTCAACAAAGTTGCTTTAATTAGGACAGTAAGGTTCTACTGCCCCAACCTACTTTACCCCAAAGAGGTGGGACCACGTGGGCAAAAGGGTCCCTGT